ATGAATCGGGTCCGACTCAAAGGCACATAACAACAACAACAACAACAACAATACATTCCATGGGTCTTAAGAGGACAGAACTAGAAAACATGGATGAAACTTACATGAAGATTTGGGGGTTTATAAAGTTAGGTCCTGCCATAAGTAGAACCCACCACCCATCTATCATTTTGTCATACTGTAGTGGCTTACATATAGCTATGATGCTGGAAACTTGGAAACTATACCACTAATATTTCAAATACTAGCTGTTTCACCCATGGTAGACAGGTTTTAGCAGAGCTTCTGGACTACAACAGGTTAGAAAGAAAGACCTGTCAATCTACTTCACGAGCCAATGAAATGAGCCAATGAAAACCTATGGACCAGAACAGAGTATTGTCCTACATAGTGTTGGAAGATGAGCCCCTCAGTTGGAAGGCACTCAGTTCCAAGCAGCAGCTGCAGCAATGGGCTCCAGCATGGCAAAGACTGTGAAGCTGCTGCAGGGGCGGGCAGTTTTGTTCCATTGTATGTGTAGTCTCCATAATAAGGAACCATGAGGCTTGATAGCAAGTAGCCATAAGGCTGCAACAAGCTGCCTGAAGGATCAGGCATATTTCTTTTAACTGGAACTATTCAAGAACAGGTTATATTTCTTCTCTCAGGAATACTGATGTATGTACTTGGAGAGCTGGGCCAGATGATTTTTATGTCCTTTCCCCATATTGTGAGATTTTATTATCTTTTATCAAAACTTCTCTATATTTGAAAGGTAACACAGCAATTTAAGTTTTAAAACACAATTCCACTGGCATTCGCATTTTTAGACATTATAGCTGTGCTAAATCATGATATGAAAATTTAAAATTGGCCTTTTACCTTTGATTGAGGTCAATTTTTTATTTGTTAACTTCTGTTTTTAAGGCTGGGTGAAAAAAAAAAAAAAGCCCTCAATATGCTGCAGCTAAAAAAATCTATTAATGCATTTATTAACTTATTTATCTAATAAGTATTTATGAAATATTTATCAAAAGTAAAGGCCAACTTTAAATTTTTATATCATGTTTAATACATCTATACTAAGAAAAAAATAAATGTACATCTATACCCACAAGCCACTCCTCGGAAGGAAGATTGGGCAATCTACTTCTGTAGTGATACTGCCTCGGAAACCCAAGGAGGGGTCCCTATGAGTTGGGTCTGACTCGACAGCACAAAACAACAACAACAATATACTTTTGCTATGTGGTATAAAGTTGGAGTTTTTGAATATAGCTATAATCGATGTTTCAGTTCCAAACAAATAATGCAGACTTTAATATTTCTCAAGTTTTCAGAATTTTATATTGAGAGAGACCTATTATATATATACTAATTTACACAACATCTGATACTTATTAAAACAAAGCATATGCATTCGATACATTTTCTTATTAAAAATCAATCACAAGTTTACTATAATGCCAATATACACTTTGTAAATGAAGTGAACTATTGCTAAGGTTTGAATTTGATTTAGGATAGTAATAAACACTTCTTTGTTACTTTATTAATCTGTGTAATGGTAAAGATACATGCAACTTGCAGTTAGGTATTATCTGCTCACAGTATATAATACGTATTTCTCTGTAAGGACAAAATTTATGGAGATAACTAATGAAAACAAAAAAAAATTAGATATATTTTCTGTCAATATAATGTGAACACAGGTCAAAAGGTTATTTTATGTCAAGTCCAAACCATTTCTAATATTCTCAAATAGAGCTTTTTTCTGATTTGTTTTGATCATTTAGCTTTACTTTACTTTTGACATGTTGATTCATCCTTGACTTTTTAAAATTTAAACTTGAAACCAAAATATATTTATAAAGAAATAATGTTTATAATTACATTTAAAACATAATTTTAATAAAACATAATCTCAAGAAAAGCAATGTAGGTATTTGGGGACATTCTTTTAAGCAAGGCTGATTTTAGGGGTAGGAATATAGTTAATAAAATCCATTTTTGATGTTATTTAACACAGAAGCAAACACAGATCTTTTCATATTTGACATTAAAAATCTGATCATTTGCCTCCCTAAAGAAAGCACATACAGCTTTTATACAGACTGCACAGTAAAGAATAATAATATTTCTGTTTACTGAGATATCAACTGGCATTTCACTGTAAGTCAATGGTCTATCATTGCTACAGCATATTAGACCTCAATCTGGCATCTACAAATGTCAAGAGTATAAAAAAATATAGGATGAAAATCAAAAGCATGTTCTGAACTCCCAAAAAAATAAAAAAAAGGGAAACAAAGTTCACCTAAACATATTTGCTGCAGAAATCAGTGCAATATTCAGCTGTCAATCTAGAAAAACAACGAGGGAGCTACACTGTCAGTAGGACAGGATAATAAAATTTCCAGCAGATGTTCAGGCAGGGCTCTAATTTTTACAGAACTCCCTTGGTAAGCATTTAATTTCTTTATCATATGCAGGCTCGGCAAATTGTACTTCATCAAAACTGTATTTTGAAATATTAATATTTCATATGATAACAAAACTCCATAGAATACCCTTTGTCATATTAAGAACATCCAAATTTCAAATGTCAAGATTCTGAATTTTAATACATTTTAAGTAGCTTTTTGAATTGGCATAATAAATTATAATAAGGCTAATCTAAATTGGTATGTTATAATGTCACACAAATATATAGTACATATAATGGTTTTAATAAAAGGCTGTAGGAAAACCAGGTGTTCATTTTACTGAGTTGTATAGCATTTCATCACTAAGAAAGCACAGAGCTTCTATACTTGCATATTCACAACAAGTTCAGTCACTAATTAGGGACAATGTAAGAAAAGAAAATAAAGCAAAAGAGTAGATGCAAACTGAGTATTTTGCAAAATCATGCACAGAAAATAATCTTTTTTGAAAATGGCATTATGTAGGCCCATTACAGTCTGCACAACTATGTTTACAATGGTCTCTACACAAACATTTTGTTGTATCCACTATCAAAGAAAGTAAAATGGTGTTTCATGTGCCAAATTTAATTTGCATTTGTTCGTAACACTCCTTTTTCACCAGCATCACAGACTTCTGTATTGATAGATTAAATTCAAATTGGAGATTTAGACGGAAGTTAGCTTCCACATTTCTTTCTGCTGGTGATCCTAATAAAAGCAACTGCTCCTATGTTACTGGAGGAGACAGCATCACAAATCAATGCATGTCACCAGGAGAGTAAAGACAGATGTCTCTGATTAATCAGAATTCATTTTTTACCAGTAAAGAAAAAAGCAAATTCAAAGCAAACATTTATTTTTTTGGCTACAATTCTTCACTTGTACCCCATTAGTCACCTAAAACTGTTTACATATAAATTTTTACAATAGAATAACAAATATATGGTCATTAAATGCTTTCTGAGACTCAGTTTTCTCCCAATGGATTAACCATTTGATTACAGCTTCACAGTAATTCTGAAAGAATGAATTGGAACAAAGACAAATATACTATCAGTATTCTACACAGGTTGTAAACGATTGATTCATGGTATCCTAAAGCAGAAGCCAGTATATTCATTTTTACACCTTGCTTAATGGAAGTATTTATAAATGTTCAGCCTAATTATTTGAAAAAAGAACTACCTTTTTCTTGACTATTTAAAATTCTTATTTTTTTTTCATACACTGGTTTTCTAACTCATGAGGACTCTCTAGATTTTCTTGACCACTCTCACACATAGCATCTTGTAAAGCTGTCAGGATAAGACAGCTGTAATGTTTTAGCCATAATAATGCCAGCTATTGATCCTAGTAAGAGGAGAAAGAGAGAGAGAATGTGCTTAATGGGGCATGTTTGTTCTCTATTATTTTCTTTGCCTAAGGATAAGGCTGATTTAAATAATGATACCCTTTTCTTAGTCACTAGATTCACACATTCTTATACATTAATTATTACTAACTACCAGTTAGTGCTAAATACATCAATAGGTTTAGCATTTTTAATTTTATCAATAAAGGGTCTAAGAATGCTAAATTCTGCTGCTCTTTTCTAATTCAAAATCATATAAGAACACAATGATTTATCGCATAAATCATTCCACTTGGAAAACATGCATTTGCTCCTTTGAAAATATTTTGTATATGCTTTGTGTACTTTAAAGACTGAATCTCAACTCTAATAAAGATGTTATTTTTCACTAAGCATATCCATGTCTGGCGTGAGTACAAAGTCATAATGCCACATGACTCTCAGGGTGTATGTATTTTAGAGAAAATTTATGGATTCAAAAATTCAAGAAGAATCTTATTTATTACCAGCAACGATAAAGTATACTGGAAGATTTCTTCTGACATGAGTTAGATTGAAGAATTTTGTGCAAAACAAATCCACTATCTCTCTAACGTTGAATTCAATCAAATGTCTTCATTTACACATACCCAGAAATCACAAAACAATGAATAATGTCTAAAAATAATCCATGAAGTTATGATTATTAAATGATATAGTCACTTTTGTAATATTTATATATGTGATACTCCTTACACAATAAAAAATAAGAAATGTACATCCTTCTCTTTCCATGGTACAGAAGGAATGGAAAGAAAGGAAAAATTAATGTGTGAATTATGAACTCATGGGCATGAGGGGAGTTTCTTTTTTTTTTCAAGAACCAAACAGGTATCAAGTATTTAATAACAAAATCATCAACTTACACACAAAACTGTAAATTTATTATTTTTCAAGAAAAGAATCACTCTAATTGTGCTTTGTCACAGAATTATTGGGAGGATACAATGAAAACTTACACAAAGTACATGGCACACAGAAGCATAGTAGTTGCTTGCCAAATGTTATTTTGGTATATAAAATGCTTGTCTGTCCCTCCAATTGAGCCAAATAGTTTAGTAACTATTATTTCTTGGTCAGAAAAGTCTTTCCAGTATAGTATGTCTTCCCTAATTAAAATGAATGATGGATATGTAAACATGATTTCAAAAATATTTTCTTACCTTATCAAGAGAAAACGTTTTGGTCAGAGCGAAACTCCACCCAGCTTCAAATGCTCTTCGAATCATTGATGAACTGGTAGCTGGAGTTGCACTAGCAAGACCAAAAGGATTTGTGAACTTCAGTCCAGCCATTTCCACACTAATGTCCACCAGGTCAATAGGAGTGCAAAAGAGGGGCAGTGCAGGCGTGGCAGAAATGGAAGCTCCATATTGTGACTGCAAAACACAAATAATCATTGCTCACACCACATCTGATTTATCCATATAATCTCTTATCAAAATCAAACACAACATTTGAATTAATATAGATTAGGTTGGTCTGTTTACAGTGATGAAAACTGCCTGGCAAAGAGTCAGCTACCAGTGAGCCAAATTCATATAATACCCTTCCTTACTAAACTAAAAGGAAGTATAGAGGGTAATAATAGTATATATATATATATATATATATACACACACACACACACACACACACATTACAAACAAGTGAAAAACTCTGTTTAAAACATATTGAGATTCAAACACAAAAGAGAATAATTTTAGAATTTACCACCCTGGTTCCATTGACCTTTTGTACTTAATTTGCAGAAAGGTCTTTATTGCTCAGAGATATGGGTAACAGCAATTCAGGAGGCCAAACTTCAATTCCCAGTAATCTCACTACTCTTTATTCGATATTAGGAAAGCTACCTGACCTGTCTGTGTCTTTTCTCCTCTGCAGTTTTCAGTATAGCAGCAGGAATGCTGGTTGCCTAATTTCTAACTCATATGGATATTAGAAAATTCATGAGATTATAAACCACAGGGGGACATCTAATTTGGAAAATGGGTAATATAGTCACTTGTGCCTTCCCTCTCCAGGAAAAAAACAGGTACCAAACAGTTAATGTCAAAATCATCATTGGTACTCCAAACCGTACATTTCACTTTCTTAAGTAATCACTCTAATAACGCCACTCACAGAACTATTGGAAGGATTAAATGAAAACACTCATGTAAAGTACATGGCACACAGAAGCATAGTAGGTGCTTACTGAATGTTATTAAAGATCTTATCAAGCCTTTTTTTTTGTAAAGATCTTCCTTTCCTCCTTCCTTTTCTTCTTTCCTCCCACCCAGCTCCCTCTGTTTAGTTTTGAAAGGCAAATGACACTAGAAAATATAAAAAGGATGCATTTTTTCAGTCAAAGTAGTTAGTGAATGGACAGGGCGTGTTAATTCAAAAGTAAGAAATCCTCTCTCTTGTGAATCATCACTCAAAAGAAAAGTTATTTGAGCAGAACTTTAATTTTACAGAAGTGTGTCATGGGTAGATAAAGATTGCCATGACTTGCATTGAAATTATTTCTGGCTCTCCACCATTTATAATGCAAAGCAAAGTTCATTTAATATGGAAAAAGGCATCAAACTTGTCAACTGAAAGACTAATGTGTCTCTGGTACCTTCACTAAAGTGTCTGATGGTGTCTGGGCTTCAGTTCTGGCAGACACCTACTGTCAGGGGTATTCTGGGCTTCAGTGTACATTCCCAAATACTGGTCAGTGCTGTTGTGAACATAACTTCTCCTGTCTTTATGCAGGACTGAAATAATATTAAAAGGATTATTAGCAAAAGCAAAAATTATAATGTATAATGTAAGGAACCAGCCACTCCTCGGAAGGAAGGTTGGGCAATCTACTTCCTTAGTGATACTGCCTCGGAAACCCAAGGAGGGGTCGCTATGAGTCGGGTCCGACTCGACGGCACCTAACAACAAAAATGTAAGGAAATAGGGGATAACTTGAGACCTGATAATTTGAAGTGTGTGTGTGTCTATGCGTGTGTGTATGTTAGGGGTAAACGTGTGTATTCATTTAAGAATGTACAGGGATGGGTATGGAAGAGACTCCCTGCTGGATGGCATTTTCTTTGCTCTGTGTAATCATGATTTAAATTGAATCACACGATTTTAGGTTAAGGAAAAATTTCTTGACAGCAGGAGTCAGTTAATACTGGAAAAGTAAAGAAACATCTTTCTTATTTGAGGAGTCTTATAAACCAGATGGGAGCTCTGGTAGCACAGTGCATAAGACACTTGACTGCTAAGCATAAGGCTGGCAGTTCAAATCCACCACCCACTCCTCAGAAGAAAGATAGGGCAATCTACATCCGTAGTGATACTGCCTTGGAAACCCAAGGAGTGGTCGCTATGAGTCAGGTCTGACTTGATGGCACATAACAATAACAACAAATAAACCATATAGGGCAATCATCTGCCTGATGCCAACAGCAGAAATACATGTAGCCTCATATTTGGGAGACACAATAGGCTTTCTTCTCATTATGGTTTTCTGTTGAAATATCTACTCGCCTGTAGTGGCGTAGTTCCTAAAGCATTTGACTGCTAACCAGAAGGCTGGTGGTTCAAACTCACCAGACACTCCTCAGAAGGAAGACTGGACAATCTACTTCTGTAGAGATACTGTCTCGGAAACCCAAGGAGGCGTCGCTATGAGTTGGATCTGACTCGACAGCAGTGAGTTTTGAGTGAGTGTAGTCTCAGGGCTGAATTTTAGTTTGTTTACAATTTTAACTATCTATAACATTAGGCAACAACCCAAGGAGACAGGAGGCAGACATATATTTGTAGTTCAACTAGCATCTTTTAATTTGTAGTTTAAATAAGGAGCTCTGGTGGTGTACAGGGTAAGGCATTTGGCTGCTAACCAGAAGGTTGGCAGTTCAAACCTACCAGCTGCTCTGTGAAAGGAAGATGAGGCAATCTACTTCTGTGAAGAGGTACAACCTTGGAAACCCAATAGGGGTTGCTATGAGTTGGAATCAACTCAATAGCAGTGGGATTGTTTGTTTATTTGTTTGTTTGTTGACGAATGCTCTGAAAATATAGTGAAGGTTTCTACCTTGATACTTAGAAAAGAAATGATTTGGACAAACTTTGTAAGATTTTCCTTAAGCTTTAATACAAACAAACACAAGCAAATCAAACAAATAACAAGAAATAAATATACACAGAGAGAACACTTTCAAAGGAGAAGGACAGCTTCTTATAAAACAGATTTTTTTTCTTTTATTGACAAAAATGCTGGCTACTGATGTGTATGCATACGTGTGCATGGAAATAAGCTAAAACCTTCACTTGCAATAGGCAGTCTTGACTTCAGATTGAGCACACACTGGGCTATTTTAGTTTTGTCTTTGTGGCTTCTTGCCACAGTGTGGTGCTACAGCAACCTAGTCCATGCAACTTCACAACATACCCAGACTCTAATTTACACTTTCTTTTCTTTAAATTTAAAAGGCTATTTCCCTACACATCTCAAACTTCAGTGCTCAACACAAAATTAATTCTTCCCAATCCTATTCTCAACCTCCAAATTCAGATTTCCAACAGACTTTAAAGCCCTTTGGTATGGAGGTTGTGTTGTTACTTCAAATCAATCCATCCAAAATGTATGTTAATGTATTCCCTTTCAAAGAAACATGGTCCAGATTTTCAGTTTTAGACAATATTTTTTTTTTCAGCCATCTTAGAGTATTAGTCAATAATGGACACATAAAACAAGCTTATATTGAACAATGAGGATTAGTTACATAATGATGCATTATGAATATTCCATTATGGAAATATAATATTCACAATAATAAATACAATAATAAAATATTTTTCAAAGAACTATTGTATATTTTCCAAATTGCTTCCCCTCCCCTGTGCAGCTAAATAATTTCCCCTTAATAAGTATTTTCAATACCAAATATTTTAGGTCATTTTTTGGATATCTCATTTACCTACATGCTCTAAAATTGAGGAACCTGCTCACAGAGTTGAAAAAGGTTAAACACAAGAACTTCAGTTTCAGATGTATGCAGTTTTCCACCATCTCCCTTTCTAAAGTAGAGATGGCCTTATAATCTGGACATTGCCAGGCCCTCTCAGGTGCTTCAAACTACATATAATGGAAAAACAAAAATATAATTACAGAAGCAAAACAGGCTAAGGTGATAAAGAACTGGGATGAGGACTGGGGAGGCTTGATGAGGAAGGAGTTGTAAAAATAGAGGCGAAAAGCAAGACTAGATGTCCAGCAGATTTTTATAATATAAAGATAAAAAGTAACATTTATTTTTTAGAAGCCATTGTCACAAATGTAAAACATTGACAGCAAAAAGAATGGCTGAAGATGACGTTAAAGAAAAAAAAAAAATCCCTCCCTCTCTTTGGTCCTCTTTTCTTTTGAGATTAATTAAAGATTTTTGTCACTTTTATTCTAAATTTTACAAATCAACTCTATGACAACTATAGACTATGAAAGTTCTCAATTTTTTTATGAGTTACATTTAAATTTTCTTATTTCATTTCTATATGCAAATCCGTCAAGGTACATCACTACCAACCTACTCTTTAGCATTATATAATTGCGATCTGGCCTCTCCCTCCCACTCCCCCTCCTTAGCTAATCTCATCTCCTATACTTCACAACATCTTATTCTTCAGTTCGTTAAACAATTTATAATTTCTCAAACAAGACAATCCATTAATATAGCTACGTATTATTACTTTTTTTGTTTTTGTTTTTGCCTGAAATTTTTGTTCCTGCTTAGTGTATCTACTTTGAAATTTCCAACTAATACTTCAAGAGTCAATCGTGGTGTCATCTCCACTAGGAAACTCCTCTAAACCAAAAAAACCAAACTCATTGATGTTTAGTCAATTCAACTCATAGCGACCCCTCCTTGGGTTTCCAAGGAGGTATCTCTATGGAAGTAGATTGCCCAGTCTTCCTTCTGAGGAGTGGCTGCTGGATTTGAACCTCCAGCCTTCCAGTTAGCAGTCAAATGCTATAGGCACTATGCCACCAGAGCTCCCAGAAACCTCACTGGCTCCTGATAAAGTTATTTCCTCATCATACTCTGCACTTGTTTAGTTACATGTATGTGTCTCCTCTTTAATTTATTTCAGCACCTAATTTCATTTCGCCTTTCTTGGAGGAAAGATACTTACTATATATGTTGAATATATCATACTAATGACTTCAGGTACTTAACCTCTTTTTTACATCAGTTCCAAGTAAGATGATAATGAGTTTAGATGAAATAATCATAAACATTATTTCAGATATATGAAATGTCTATGATTTCAATGTAGAGTAATATGCAACTCTGACCTCAGGAAGACCACTGATTATAGCAACAGCTCTCAAAACAGCCATGTAGTGGCA